ACACACACACACACACACACACACACACACACACACACACACACACCGAGTTTTAAGTGTGGACACCAGAGGACACCAGGAGACACCTCGTCCATGTCCTTTGTCATTTCCTTCCTCACCTTAAGGAAGGACGTCCAGTATCTCTCCAGAACTCTGGGTGAACCTCCGTTATCGTTCTTACAGACCCGGGCGACTCGAGAGAACACCACCTGGAGAGAGAGAGACGGGTTTACTCTTAGTCTGCTATCTGGAGTCTCTTAGTCTGGTCCAGAGACCGATATGTTGAACCTGAGGACGGCAGAGAGGGTCACAGTGAGACAGCTCAGTCTCAGGTTGTGTTGTTATGAACACAGCTCTGGTTGAAGGATCAGGAGTCAACAGGTGCAGCAGCTCCTCACAGGATCAAGTTTATGACTTCATGCCTGAACGTCTCTAATGAAACATCTACTTATTACTACAACAATTCATCACAGCCAATCAGAGCAGAGTTTACTTCATACACATTCATATCTATGGATTATGTATCATCAATCTACACACACACACACACACACACACACACCTTTCCCAGGGCGGTGTACTCCACTGCGATCTCACTGAGGAAGAAGTAGACGTAGTTACCGTAGTCGATGGCGTGCAGGAAGTGAGGCTCTGCAGAGAGGAGGTGATGAAGAAGAAGAAGATGAAGGAGAACAACAAAAAGAAGAAGAAGTTCAAAACGTCTGCTATTGTCTCCTATAATCATCTTATTCACTTCACAGTTACCGACTTCTTCATTTCCCAGCATGCCGTTCTAACCCCTCTGAGAGTAAACATGGCCGTGTTGGATTAACAGGAATATGAAGGACTGCATGTTAACAGGATGTAGACCACCTGCCTCCAATGATCCCTCAGGTTTATTACAGACCATCACACATACTGTACATTTGATTCATTGTCTGCTGTCGAGATGTGAAGACGGATGTTTCTGATGGAGACTATTGACGCTAGCGCTAAAGGCGCTAAAGGCTCTAAAGGTGCTAAAGGCTCTAAAGGTGCTAAAGGCTCTAAAGGCTTCAGACTCTTTCTTTAGTGTGACCTCTGTGACCGACCTCTGAGCCACTTGGAGTCGTACTTGACGGTCCTGAGGACGGGCCGGCCGTCTCCCAGACTCCTGTAGAGGACGGCGTCGCTGGCCAGGAAGTCCGTCATGGTGGCCGAGTAGAAATCTCCTCCTGACAAACAGCAACACGGACACTTTAATGTCAAGAGACGTATTCACAGTTCTACTGTACTTCACTTATCATTACTGTATACAGGAAGTATGTAACTAAGTACATTTACTCAAGTACTTAAGTACTCCTCTACATCTCAGAGGTACATGTTGTACTTTATACTGTACTACATCTCAGAGGTACATGTTGTACTTTATACTG